GATCCATCCCCAGACTCCACATGGTAGGAGAGAACTGGCTCCTACAAGTTGTCTTCTGATCTCTACATGTGCACAATAATACAGTGTACACATTCCCCCACAAAAGGTTTCAAAAAATACAAATGAAAATGGGAATTCTTGTGCTCAATTATATGGTGTCTTAAACTCAAGGGGAAGTGAAAGATTATGAAACAGAAGCGGAGGAAAGTGGGCAGTGTATGAGGTGTTCAAGGCCCTTCTAAGGGTGGCAGCCATTGCTTGCTGAAAGCAGTCCTAGGGAACAGCGAGAACGGTAAAATCCACACTGACAGACTTTATAAGATGCAACTTTAAGGTCCTTAAGGTGCTACATATGCATTTGCTGTGGGGAGAATGGGACTCAGGGCTGATCATTTGGGGAGGTACATTAAAAAAAAAAAAGCTGAAATAATCCATTTATTTAACCCAGCAATGGTTATAATGTGAGGGCCTGCAATCCGCTCACACAACAACTGTTTGGCAAGCCCCCCCTCCCCCCCGCCGTGTTCCAACAAATATTAAACTGTGCTTGCCATTTGTCTACGGAATCTTGCATTAATAAACATGAAGAAGAACACTTTACCTCCCACTCTCAGTGATGGGACCAAACAAAGACCAGCTGTACTCATCAATGGGGCCTTGTTCTGTGCATAAAGGCTAATTACATTTTGCTTCAAGCCTACACATGGAAAACTTTACTGCCACTGTCCCTATCACAGCCAGCCAAGCAGTCCCAGCTGACGTACAGCTGAAATGACTGCAAAAGCAGCAGTTAGGGTTGGGGGTGGAAGGCTCCAAGTGGCCTTGTTGCCTTTGACCTACATCCCCCCAAGGGTCTTGAATAGCCCAAATTGGCCTCTAACAGTATAGCTGAAGCTGACCTTTAACTCGTCATCTTCCTGGCTTCCACCTCCCAAGTGCTGCGATTAGAGGCATGTGCCACCACACCTGGTTCTTGTAGTATTGAAGATTGACCCCCAAGGCCTTGTGGATGCTAAGCAAGCACCCTATCAACTGAGTTACAGCCCCAGTCCCTGTGGTTTCTTTCTGAATGGGGGAGAGGGAAGGTCAGTGGTCTGAATGACTGACACATTTCAGACTAACCTTCTCCAAGAGGCATACATGGGATTCTGCTGTGAGCACCCCAGGCCTTGCCATATTGCCTCTGCACACACTTCATCACTCTCCATAGCTACTCAGTGATGCAGCTGCTCTTATGCCCCTTGTCCAAGAGACAAGAGGCTCTGGAGGAGGTCACAGTGTGTACAGGAAACAGAGCAATCACTCCCAGAGCAGTCTTTCCTCAATGCCTTTTCTATGTCTCCTACCTCCCTTTCTAGGTTTGTCAGCATGCGTTGAAGCATTCTTTTTTTTCCCTTAAAAAAAGATGTTTAAAACCATCCCTGGTGTGTGTACACGTGCACATGAATGTGGATGTAGAGAGGTCAACCTTGTGTGTTGTTCCTTAGGAGCCATCCACCTTTTTTTTTTTTTTTTTTTTTTTGAGATAGGACCTCTGATGGGGTCCTGAGGTCAGTTAATATAAGCTGCTGTTCAGGGAGCCCCAGGGATCTGCCTGTCTTTATGTCCCCAGTGCTAGAATTTCAAGGGAACTTTACCAAGCCCAGCTCTTATCTGGGTTCTGGAGATCAAATTTAGGTCTTCATGCATCCATGACAAGTACTTCCCAGCCTGAGTCACCTGCCTAGCCCCAATCAGTACTTTCTTTTTCTAATCAGAGAAATAAATTTTCAGCCCAGTCTAGTTGGACTACCTTTCCACATCCATCAATCCACTATTTTCAGAACTGTGGCAGGTCTTCCAAGAGACCAATGTGGCCTTGCTCTTTCACAGACTTCTTATATTTAGAAATTACTCATTGAGTCCCACATCCTTGCCAGGTACAGCAGCACATTTACAGCCCCCAGCTATTGCAGAAGCTGATGAAGGAATTATCTCTTGACCCTAGGAGTTTCAGATCAGCCTAAGTAGTGCAGTGAAACCCCCTCTCAAAAAAGAACAAAGGAGGACTAGGAATGTGTCTCAGTGGGTAAAGCACTTGCCATGCAAGCAGGACGACTGTGGTTCAGAGCCCTAGGACTCATCTGAATCCTGGATTGGCTTGGTAGGCTGCCTGAATCCAGCACCAGGGAGGCAAAGACATGATATCCTTGAAGCAGGTTGTTGCATCAGTGAGCTCTGGGTTCAAGTGAGACCCTGACTCAAAATATCTAAGGTGGAGAACTGTTGAGGAAAACACCTGACATCAACCTCTGACTTCCACATCCAGCTGCACATATGTACACATGTACCCACATACATGCACACTCATAACATATGCACATCAAAAGCTCTCAAAAGACTGCTAAATCCATAATCACGAACACCCAAGGTTGTCTTCTGACCTCTAAAGGTATGCTGTTGCATACACACATAGAAACATAGACAAGAAAACAAGTACATACAAGAAAGTAGTACAGTTTGGCAATAATAAATAGTGATATAAACAACTATATTTCCAAACTCACTAGGACTTAGGCCAATCAAGACAGTGATGTGAAGTGGAAGGAGGAGGCACACACTGATTAACATGCTGTCTACACATCAGGGTAGCCAGGGCTATGTAGAGAGCCAGAGTTAAAAAAAAAAATAACAAAAGAAAAGAAAAATATTCAGTTACTGAGAAAAATGATCAGTTTAGTAGGATAAAATCCAAGCAGAAATGATCACATTACATGAAGATAAAACACTGACAGAAAAGGGGGCAGGGTCCAGGAGTTTTATCATGGCAGTTGATGTGGTTTCTTCTGTGGAAATGTGTTGCAGGTGAGAAAGTCTATGAGCTTTCAAAGGGTGGGAGTAGCATGTGTGTCCTCCAGTTGGATGATGACAGCTGCTCTTAGATGGTCCTGTCTTTGGGATGGAAGGAGGTAAGCCCGAAGTCATAGAATTTACTCCCTTAGACTGAGCTCATTTGTACTTTTCAAGCCTAACTGTAGAGCATGGAGGGAGGAGAGTGATGGCCTAAAGGTTTTTATGAGGTTTAGCTATGCTATCAAGTCAGCCAGCTAGGGAGACTGATGAGGACATCTGGGTCTCTGTGAATAAGTTCTAAGTTATCTAGTGAAGTTTGACTGCAGGTCTGGGAACTAACTGGGCCTTAAGGTCTGGACTAATAAACAAAGGAGAGTAGAGGGTCAAGAAATGGCCCCGAGGCTAGGGATATGATGGCTTGCTATGTAAGAATGAGGGCCTAAGTTCAGAACCCTAGCACCCATGTACAAACCTAAGTGTGGTGGCACATGTTGGTACTCCCACTCCTGAGGACTACCTATCCCTAGAGCTCACTGGCCAACAGTCTAGTCCATGTGTGAACTCCAAGCTTATTGAGACATCCTGCTTAAAACAAAAAACGAGGCGAGCTGAGATGACTCAGTGGTTAACAGTACTGGTTGCTCTTCCAGAGGACCTGAGTTGGATACACAACACCCATATGGTGGCTCATAACTACCTGATAGTTCCAATTCCAGGGACTCTGTTGTTATCTTCTAACCTCTGAAAACATCAGGCATATACATGGTACAGACATAAATGTAGGCAAAACATTTATATACATAAAATAAATAAAAAAATAAGTAGCGAGTGATTGAGGAAAATACCCAATGTCTGGCTTCCACAGGCACACAATTCAAGTACACAAACACATATATCACATGAAAAGGACAAGGATTGCTGGGGTGTAAGTCCTGTCTCTCACTACAATAGAGTGGGAACAACTCAGATGTGACAACTCTGATACCTATTGGAGCAACATATGAACAAACCTGTGTTCCCAGTGGCTGGAGGCAACACTGCCGCTGAATACATGTACATTTCTGTGGAAGATCAGAAGAGCCTTCTCCAATGGGAAAAAGCCATGAAAACTTCAGCCTTAGACAGCTTGTCTGAACATTAGCCATAGCTAGCAGACTTGTGGCTGACTCACAACTTAGGACAATATCAGTTCCTCCTCTCTGCTCATCTACAAGGAGGGGTCTGGTAGTAAATGTTCCTGTCACAAGTTACTGTAATGTCTGATGTCATCTTGACAATGGTCAAGTAAGCAGGAAGCATCATTGGCCCAGTCTCATCCCTGAGTGTCCCCACACAGGGAGCCCTGTACAAAGCTGTAAGGCTCAGTGACAAGTATCTTTATGGGCTGTGCTTGTTCTTCCTAAGGTACTCTTCTCCAGACTGTATTTCCACAGAAGTGTCCCACCAATCACATTGCTTGAAAGTTCACCCTTTCCCAGTGTAGAAAAAAGTAAAGCATATGGGCTGGACATGGCTAAGCAGGTAAAAATGCTTGCTGCGTAAGTATGCTAATGAGAGTTTGACCTCTAGCATACAAATGAAAAAACCCAGGTTCAATTCCTAGCCCCCACATGGTGGCTCACAATCACCTATAACTACAGCTTCAGAGGATCTGATGTCCTCTTTTGGTTCACACACAATACACAAGACATACAGACCAAGACCAGAAAGGCAAAACACCCAAACCCATAAAATAAAATAAATTAAAAAATAAAGTCAGATGTGGTGCACATCTGTAATCCTAGCACTCCTACAGTGAGACAAGAGGTTGAGACAGGAGGCTCATCTAGAGACTTACAGATAGGCAGAAACAAGAGACCCTGACCTAAAGGGGTCCTCAGACTTCTACATGTGCACTGTGGTATGCACACTCATTTACACAGACACACACGCACACACGAGTGCGCAAAGTCTAGACTTCTTTGTGACCAGGAACAGAAGTTTCAGTGGAATGGATATGATACAAGGGACTTATTAGACTGACATTATATCTTGACAGCATGACAGGAGGTTGAATATCTTCTAAGCCCATCTTCTGTGGATTAGCAATAGCACAGTCATCTTGACCAAATGCAAAAAAACAGAAAAAAACAAAACAAAACAGAGGATGATATCACACAGATACTTACTTTGCAGTAGTTTCTTCATCATATTTGGTTTTCAGGTCAAATAATTCTGTTCGAGTTTTTTCCAGGGCTAAAAGGCAAGGACAGAAACCATGATATAAGATACCAATCTTGTCTGTTTTCAGACAGGGTCGATGTAGCCCAGGCTATCCTTGCGCTCATTATACAGCCAAAGATAACATTGACCGTCTGACCCACCTGCCTCTACCTACTCAGCATGGAGATTACAGATATGAGCCTGTTTTCCTTCATGATGGGGATCAAATCCAAGGATTTCTGAGTACTGGATAAGCACTCTACTGATGGGGTTTCAAATCCTGGATCTCCCTGGGTACAACTCTCCAGTGAGGAGATTACAGGAGTTAGAACACCAGCTGCTCACAGTAAAAAGGAGAAGTACACGAGGATGGGAGACATACAACGGAGGGAGAAGGAAACTCCCTCACCCCACCTTATCTCTCTGAAGTACCTCCTGCAACAGAGAACCACCGTCCAGTTTGCTGCAGACTTTCAGCTTTTAAATGGCTTTTATCATCAAAAATCATTTCTATACCAACTGCAAATACAGTTGCATATTATGTTAATCAAGTTATGTTGGTCAAGTATATGATGAAGGTCACATATAATTATATTGGAGGTAGAAAGTTCCTATCATCTAGGCGCTTTATCGTCTTAGTGCAACACATGACTTGTGAGCCTACAGTGACTCTGGCATGCTACCAGCTGGGTAAAAGCATGCATATGGTAACTGACCACGACTATAAACAGCTCTGCAACTAGCTTATAAGACTTCAAAAGGTTTAGTGTATGTGTGCTCATATCACTGTGTGCGCATGTGTATGTGTTACAAACTTCAGTCTTCTGACGCCACCCACCTTGCAGTTTTTGGAGCAGGGTCTCCCACTGACCTGGAACTCACCAAGTGGGCAAGATTGGCAGATCAGTGAGCTCAGGGACCAACCTGTCTTCACCTTGCTAGGTCTGGGATTATAAGCATGGTCTACCACACATGGCTTTTTACATGGGCTCTAGAGGTTGAATTCAGATCCTTATGTTTGTGTGCTATGGATCTGAGCAAACGCCTCAGCTCCTATTATACTTTCAATTGTTATTTAATACATACCTCTATTTACTTTATTGTGGGCTGGAGAAATGGTTCAGAGGTTAAGCTCTTGTAGAGGACTCACGCTTGGCTCCCAGCACCCATGCTCACAACTGTCTATAACCCCAAAGGGATCAATGCCTCTGCAGCCATCTGCAACTCATATGTATGTACACATGCACAAACCCACACAGACCCAAAGTTTATTTTAAAAGAGTGTGCTCTGTGGTAGGGGCAGAAACCTCATCTATGGACTGTCAACTTCATTTACTGGCTGAACTGAAGAGCAAGGCATAGTGATGCATGCCTGTTATCTCAGCACTGAGGAGGCAGAAGCAGGAGGGTCATGAGGCCCAGGCTAGCCTGGGTTACATGAAGATATTAATAGCTCCATAAATGGGATGGTTAAGAGTATTTTCTGAGGCCCATCTTTTTCCTTAGTGGTCTAGGATGGAAGTCTCTCCATGTCAGGTCAAGGCAGACCAATCAGTTTTCCTTTTAACACACTCAGAAGTAAGGCGGTTGGTAAAGAACTGAGCATGCTTGCCCCTACATAACACCCAGCCAGCCTCAAGAGGCAACTCTCCCATTCACATCCACACAGTGCCTGTGACCATGCTCCTACATCCTCAGCAACAACGGTATTATCTGCTTTAAAAGACGCTGACAGCATGATAGGCAAAACTATCTTTCACTGGTTTATCTGCAAATCCCTGACTGTTAAAAACTGTCAGCTCTTTCCCTTATGATCCACACTGCTTCTCAAAGCTTCCTGCTACTTCACTTGCTCTTCTGCTGGGCTGTTTCTTCATTTTCCAGAATTTTTAAGTGATATATCATGTGTGTAGACATATGTATATACATACATGCATGTATAAGGTGAAGACTGAACCAAAGCTTTTGCCCATACTAGGCAGGTGTTCTACAATTAACCCACACTTGGAGCCCCTCAATGGAAGATTCTAGGCAGGTGCTCTACCACTGGGCAGGCTCCCAGTCCCTTACTGATGGTATTCTAAGCAAAAGCTCCTTTGCAGAGCTACATCAGTAGCTTGGTGTTTGCAGTTTTTGGACATTTATTCATTTGACTGTTAAACTGGTTGTGACTATTTTTTGTCCCTGTAACATTTGTGTTCTAAGTTGGATCATGATGTCTTCTCATTTTTCTCCCCACATTTAAAGATACCATGCTGCTTCCTTCTCAGAAAAGGAAACAAAAAAAAAGAAAGGCAAACTTTGGTATGACCTTTTTTGGTATCTTTTAGAATTTAAAGGTTCTGCTATAACAGTTCTTAACTTCATTTCGGGTAGAACTAAGTCCCCTCACCCCCATTATTGTTCCAAATGAGATGACAGTTCTTGACAGTTTGGTGATTTAGAAGTGTTTGTTGGAAAGAAGAACAGGAAGGATGGCTGGCGCAGGGAGGGAAAAGGCAGGAGAGCCACCCACGTCCACATTAGCAACTCAATGCAGTGACTAATGCAGTCAGGTAGAGCAACCTGGGATTCAGGCTTCAGTTATGTGGGCTCAAGATTCCTAGCTGTAGGATCCCCAGGAGCAACAAGTAGCAGAGGGGCTAGAAACAGGCTAGGAGACTGCCCATGCTTGCCCAGCCTACTTCCATCTTCCACATGTGTCTTCAAATAGGATGGAGAGCATCGAACCTGTTTGCAAAGTCTGGAGTTTGTGCTCGGCTTCCTCCAGCTTTGAGGTGGTGGACATTTGGGTCTCTTGCAGTTTTCTGGGAAAAGAGAGAGAGAGAAAATGAAGCCAAATTGGTCATCTTGTTTTGACTACTGAGATAGGCTGTGTGCCCTGAGCCCCACTGCTCAGCACTCTTCTCAGGGAGGCCCTGCCTCGCCTCCCAGGACAGCTTGAGTCTCTGCATCTCACCTTTGTGAATGCACATTATACAACGTGGAGTGTGTGCACCCTGCAGGACCTGACATGTGTGGCAATCAGTGTGGAAGGTTCTCCTATATGAAACTTGTTCTGAGATAGCAGATATTAAAAAGAAATCAAATAGCATCATCACACACTCATTGTTTTCCTAAGTCGGGAAGAAGAATGATACATTTACATTCTGCTGATGCAGAAAAGGAATCTGTTGGCATAAAGGATGTCCTAAACAGATGTGACAGCTGTCCTTTCCTCTAAAGTGGAGCACAAATGCTACCACAGTGGGTGGGGGTGGGGGAATTCTGAATATCTGAGAGTAGTTTACTATTCCCATGGTCTCCAAATGCTGTCCCAGTCAAGAGACAACATGCTTTCCTCTGTGTCTGCAGCGAAAGAAAAAAAAAAAAATCTAAAAACAAGTTCATCATTTTTATATCCTATGAATTTAATATATGCTCAACACAATAAACTGGGGGTACAAAATAGGAGAAATGATGGCTTAAAAAATAAAGAGTCAAATTTCTGTCACCTCTAGAAAAGCTTTGCCAATACTTCCCATGTGTGTCTATTATAAAATGGGAGGACCCTTAGCCAGGCGGTGGTGGTGCACGCCTTTAATGCTACCACTCAGGAGGCAGAGGCAGTGGATCTCTGTGAGTTCGAGGTCAACCTGGTCTACCTAGTGAGTTCCAGGGCATGCTCGAAGCTACAGAGAAACCCTGTCTCAGAAGACAAAAAAAAAAAAAAAAAAAAAAAAAAAAAAAAGGGGGGGGGGGACTCATTATAAATTATAAAACTGCAGAGAACCAGAGTTCATTTTCCAGTGCCCACATCAGGTGGCTACCAAGTGCATGTGATTAATTCCAGGTTTTTTTTCTGGCCTCTTCCAGCCCTTGCAGGTACCTGGACACACACTGAAACATATTCATACATATACACATAATTAAAAACAAGTCTTAAGAAAATCCCACTTTAAAAATTATATGATCATGTATGTGTGTGTGCCCATGTGTCCATGTGTGCAAGCTAGAGGCCAATGCTTGTATCTTCTTCAACTGTCTCTTGACTTATTTTTGAGACAGTGTTCCTCACTGAACCCTGATCTCAATCCAGTTGCCTTAGCAATCAATCCACCTGTTTCACACCCCAGTTCTGGAAATACAGTTGTGTTGCAGTACCTGGCTTTTTTATATGGGTACTGAAAATTTGAACTCAGGCCCTCAAGCTTTTGTAGCAAGAATTTACCAACTGAGCCACCTCTCCGGGCCCCAAGGCCTTTTGTTTGTTTGTTTTGTTTTGTTTGTTTTTGTTTTGTATTTTGAGGCAGAGTCTCTCACCTAGGCCTTGGCTGTTCTGGAACTCACTATGTAAACCAGACTAGCCTCCAAATCGCAAAGATCCATCTGCCTCTGCCTCTCAAATGCTGGGATTGAAGACGGTACCCCCAATTAAAAAAAAAATACCAAACACTACAAGAGGATAAAAAGTACAGTCTTTCTTAATTCTTTTACTCCTCAAAGTTCCCTTGTCCCTTTCTACAATGCAACAGTATAGTAAGTAACTACAGGCACACAAACTACATAAAAGGCATGTGAATTAATACACAATCCACTAACACAACAGACTGACAAGTCTTATGCTACTGAACAACGTAGCATACAGTAACATGTAACAGTATGTATGAACTAAATTAAAATGTAACAAAGATATATAGTGCAATATAAGTTCCTTTCCCCCACTTACTTTTATGGAGGGGAGGGTTGAGAAGGGACTCCCTTTAGCTAAGGCTGGCCTTCAACTCTAGAACTCTCTGCTTCAGCCTCTTGTGTACTGGATCATGAGACATGAAACTACCCTTTCTTTTACTTGTGTGCTTAGCAGTCTGCCTTTCTCTTCATCACCAGTTTGTTCTGCTTCAGCATATATTGCTACCCCTCATTCTCAGTGGCAAACAGAACCAAAATGCCACAGATACCTAAGACAGTTTAGTTTCTTTCTGCTAAAATTTCGTCAATTTATGTTTTTGGCTAACTTGGAGAGTTGGAAAAAATTTTAACAGAGTAATTTCAATGGTCACAAGCTTTATGTAATTGTTTTTGCTTTTGGATAGATATTGAGAACTTCCCAATTAAAATCCTCTAATTTAAACTCCTGCCAATGTGTTTTTGTAAACCCTGCCAACACTGGATAAAATCAAACTCAATATTTATTGCTGTCTCTTTGTATGCTCAACTATCGACTCTGCCCACTTTTAGAAGGTTGTTACTAGTTTTGTTTGTTTGTTTGTTTGTTTATTGCGATTGGGTCTCAGGTAGCCAAGGCTGGTCATGAACTCCCAATCTTTTTGCCTACACCTCCTCAGTGATGGGATTACTGGCATGTACCATCATGTATGGCAAATAGAACTGATCATTTCTTTCCATTAATCTGTAAGAGCTCTGAGTATATGCAGAAGAGCTTGGGGTTGGTGGCCAAGAGCTCTTGCTACTCTTTTTAAAAAGACCGGGGTTTGGTTCTCATCACCCATATGAGGCAGCTCATCACTGTCTTAACTCCAGCTCTAGGGGATCTGATGCCCATTTCTGGCCTTCACAGGCACTGCATGCATAAGGTGCACATAGATTCATACAGGCACACACACAAATGAAAGAATATATATGCACATGCACTCTCCTGTACCAATTCACATACAGATACACATAGTTAAAAATCAATAAATAAAAGTTCACCCATTATCTTATGCAGTATAAATATATTTTCTCTCTTTGATATCTTTAAAACCTTACTGTTATTGGTTTTTTAAATTTTGTTTTAAATATTGGATGGTTATATTGGTATACTTTTTCAGATATTATTATAAAGAATTTTTTAACTTCAAAAATATTTAAAAATATGTATCAAAGTTCTCTTTTGATATATAATGAATTAATTACTATTTGCTGGGATTACAGACATAGTCACTATGCGTGGCTCCACATGATTTTTTCTGCATGTAAAGAAAGGTAATAAAGGCAAAGTTTTGTTTTCATTTCTTTCCCTAAACATTATTTTCTTTTAATATAATCAATCCCTTTACCTAATTTGAATTCACCTGAACAGTACCACATTCCCATATCAGTTTATTTCCACACTTTCATAGTATATGAGGCTGAAGGGATGCATGCTATCAATTACACTATACACAACCTCTCTCTCTCTTTCCTCCCTCCCTCCCTCCCTCCCTCCCTCCCTCCCTCCCTCCCTCCTTCCTTCCTTCCTTCCTTCCTTCCTTTCTTTTTTGAGAATGGGTCTCATGCAGCTCAGGCTGGCCTCAAACTCATTATGGAACTTGAGGATAATCTTGAATTCCTGATTTTTTTACCTCTTCAGTGCTGGGAGTAAAATTGATGTCAACATACTTGAGTAAGTGGTGCTAGGGATGGAATCTGGAACACTCTGCCAGTGAATGTATGGAACTTTAAATCCTGTGGTTTTCACTCTTATCTTGCTGTATTGTTTGCTCAGGCTGTTGTGAATTTTATTGAATTATAGTTTCCATGACTAAGAAGAGTTATGGTTAGAGATGGCCCATATTCCTGTATCCAGTTTTCATGGTAGGAAGTGAGGGGTTTAGAGTGCTGTATTTTCCTGCACAATCAAGCATTGCCCATGCTTTTTTGTATGCTTATTTTTTGATAAATCATCTCATACTGTAGCTCAACCATACTTGAAATTCATGCTATAGCCCAGGTTGGCCTCTAACTTGTGGGTGAATCTCCTATCTCTACCTCTACACTGCTGGTTATAAGCATGTACCACCATACTGGCCATTTTCCTTCTTTAAAAAATTATTTTAATTATTATTCTGAAGTATGTTGTCCATGTGGAGGTCAGAGGACAACTTTCTGGACTTGGTTCTCTTTCCACTTTTTTTGCGGGGGAGGGGGGAGACAGGGTCTCTGGCCTAAAACTCATTATGTAGACCAGGCTGGCCTCAAATTCACATAAATCTGCCTACATCTGTCTCCTGAAAGCTGAGATTAAAGGCATGTGCCACCATGCCTGATCCTATTTTCCTTATATTTGTTCATTTTTACTTGTTTTTATTTAGATCAGGGTCTAACTATGTAACCATCACTGATCTGGAACTGGTCATAGACCAGGCTGGCCCCAAACTCAGAGGTCTGAGATCTGAATGCCTCTGCTCCCCAGGTTCTGGGACTAAAGGCATGCACCACCACACTTAGCTTTTCCTTCTTTGTAAATGGAGCCAATGAAGTCAGCATCACAGTATCCCTGAAGCTTCTGAGACATGGGAGGTGTCCTAGTTAGATTTAATTGTCCACTTGACACAGCCTAGAGTCATCTGAGAGGAAAACCTTGATTGTGAAATTGCCTAGATCAGATAGACTGGTAGGCATTTTAGAGGTGTGGAGTGTCTTAATTATTAATTAACGTGAGAGGGCCCAGTCTGCTAAGGGTGGTACCATCCTTGGGCAGGTACTTCTGGAATGTGTAAGAAAGAAGTATTCCTCTATTGTTTCTGCTCCCTGTTCCTGCCCTGACTTCAAACAATGATGAATTGTGACCTAAAAGACAGAAGAAACACATTCCTCTTCAAGTTGCTTTTGGTCATATTTTATCATAGCAACAGAAATGTAACCAGAATAAGTTTTTTTTTTTTGTTTTTCTTTCTTTTCTTCTCCTTCCTTTCTCTCTCCTCCCTCCTTCCTTCCTTCCTTCCCTCCCTCCCTCCCTCCCTCCCTCCCTCCTTCCTTCCTTCCTTAAATATTGGTGTTGGAGACTGAGCAAGGGCATCATGCAGTTAAGCATGAGCTTTATGAAGGAGCCTCAGCTTAGCTTTGATACCTGACATCTTTTTCTTTTGGTTTTCCAAGACAAGGTTTCTCTATATAATAGTCCTGGCTGTCCTGGAACTTACTCAGTAGACCAAGCTGCCTCGAACTCGCAGAGATCTGCCTGCCTATCTTGAGAGTCAAGCCCTAGGATTAAAGGCGTGCACCACCACTGCCTGGGACATCTTTTATTTTTGCTTTATTTTGTTTTTGTAGACAAGGTCTTGCTATGTAGCCCCATGACATGTAGGTGTGTATGTCTTTCATGTCTTTAATTCTAGCACTCGCAGGCAGGCAGACTTCTGGGAGTTTGAGGCCATTCTGGTCTATCTATTGAGTTCCAGGCTAGCCAAGGTTACACAGTAGGACTTTGTCTCAAAACAAAAAGGAACACATGATTCTCGTACCTGAGACTCATGAATATTGGAATCATGTGTGTGCCACTGTGCCTGGCTCCTGTGATCTTTTTGAGGTCACCCCATAGAACTCTGGTGAATTAACCACGAAATCAATGTTCAAAAGTAGAATAAAACACCATGCTGGGGCTGGGGATATGGCTAAATGGGTCAATTGTTTGCCACACAAGTTTGAGGACCTGACCAATTGATCTCCAGATTCAGTGAGAGACCTGTCTCAAAGAAAAAAGTGGAGAGTAAAGGAGGAAGACACCACACCTTACACTAACCTTTGGCCTCCACAATCACTCACACCTCACACCCCTAGTGAGTAAACCTAGCCACTTACTTGAAACTATAAATCTAATTAGTGCCTCCTGTTAAAATGTATGTGCATTTCCTCATGCTAGTGCTAAAATTTAACATCTTAATTTAACTAAAGAGTTTTTAAAAATCTGACTAACACAGTTGGAACTAACAAGCTCAAGAGTTCCCATAGCTTTTACAAAAAAAAAATCTTATTTTCATTAAATTGTTCCATTAGTGGAAAACTACTCATTTATGGAGGAAGTCTGGAATAAAATATGCCATTCGAAAGCTATAACTGTCATTAGTCAGGTGCAGCATGGGTACATTTTACTGATCTGGGCCGAGGGTCCCTCATCCAAAACGTGTGGACCACAACTGTGACAGACTTTTATTTAGAGATTTTTAAATTCTGGAGTATTTATATAGATGGCACTGGGTGAAAGTGTCAAGTCTAGAGTGCTCTAAAAAGCCTGAACTTTTTGTTCCTTCTGGTGCTGGGATGGAAACCACAATCCTGCACATGCTAGGCATGGATTCTGAGTGATCTCAGTCCTGGGCATACTTAACTTTTTCAGTATTTACATGTCAAGAATATTTCAAAATTTTTGGATTAGAGATCTCAATTCCTTGCTTTATGAGGTACTGGTACAACAGAAAGAAGCAAAGCAAAACAAAACAAAAGATATTTTTTACGCGACACATAAATATCAGATTCAATGAAGGTAGATGAAGTTCAGGCTTTCTGCAGAGGGCACATGTTGGCAGAACCTGTCCTCTGTTGCCTCAGTTCAAGTACAGCTGTCATTTGTCAACTTGTGTTCAACTTATACAAGCCTTGTTCTCACTCTGCAGGTTTGAGAAACACTTGTGTTCCTGCTGCTGTCGTCATGGCCACCAGGAGAAAAGTGACACATTGCACTCAAGGGATTTTACAACGAAGAAGCAAGGATCGCTGTCATTTCTTCAACAAACCTTTCCAGCAGTGTTGAGGATGGAACCCAAGGCCTCACTCACAGTGGGGACTACAGGCAGGTGCTCTACCACTGAGAGACATCTAAGCCCTTCAAACAAAACTTTGCTTAGGAGCTTTGAGACTTTAGTCGACAACCTGGGCTGATTTCACATATGCATTTTTCAAACTGTCATGTGACATCAGGGTTAAAGGTGAAGTGTTTATTGGTGCTGTAGTGGTGATGGGAGCAGTGAGGCTGCACTCACCTCTCCTTCTCTGCAAAATCATTTTGCAACTTCTGTTCCTTCTCCAGAGCAATGGTCTCGGCCTGGCTCTTCAGAGTCTGCTCGTATTCTCGGATTTTCTCCTTAAGTGCTTTTATCGTAACCTCTGCAGAATGAAAGACCGAAAAACCAACGGTAAGGGAAGCGGTTCCTTATAGCTGGGTGAACCAGGCTTTTGTAACCTGCCGGGATCACTGTATTTTAAACTTGAGCTTGTCCACGTTGACACAAAATCAATGGTTATGAGTCCCTTTGGGGACCTTTTACTCCCTCAATGTGAAATTGAACTTGTAGTATTCAAGTTGGAGAGGATCAATGGGTTTTGCCAGGAAGGACTGTGGTGGTCCCTCCAGCACACTTAGAAAAGGGGGAAATCGATGGTAAAACATATATTGTCTTACTGATGCATCCTTAAGTTGGTCCTCTCTACAGAGGGCAGACTAATAAAGTTTTGGTGTAGGTTTAAAGACTTTACTACAGAGGAAAGGGTGCAAACATTTGGAAGTAGAGTCAGACAGCCCTCATCAGGCACCAAGGCAGCTTTGTTATTGTTTCTCATGAAACAGAAAATGCCAGGCACTGTGGCTGAATGCCATTTACTGTACTGGGGAAGGGAGAAACCACCACAGAATTTGGTTGTTGGTGTCTACTTGAGTTTATTTGCACTCTCAGCATCTAGTACAGGTATTTGAGGTAATAAATGGAAAAGCAGAAACTGACAGACCAGACAGGGTTTGTAGCCCTAGCTCTCCATAGTGCCACCTGTCAGGCAGTATATATTTCGTGTGTTCCCATGAACACTCTCTGAAAACAAAATGGAATGGAATGATGTTAGCATTTTGGGGGAGGCTGAGGTATTACTAGCTGAAGACTACTCTGAACGTCATAGTAAGTTTGAGGATAGACTTAAATGCAAGGTGAGTTTGGAAGCCAGCATGGGCTACATGGTGAGTTTGAAGGCAGTCTGAGCTACAGAATGAAGTTGAGGGTTAGCCAAGGCTGTTGACAGGGAATCTGATATCAGACTGGGTTATACACTGAGTTTGAGGCCAGCCTGAGATACATGGTAACTTTGAGGTTAAGCTGGGCTAGGTAAAATCACTGTCTCTAAGGTGGCAAAAAAGGCATGCCACTGGAGCTAAGAGTAAAAAGAACTAGATTTTCTCTAGGTATGTGTAACAAAGCAGGTGTGCACATAATTATCTGTCACCCAGGCATTGGGCATTTCAAAAGAAACAAATTTTACTGGCAACTGCTGCAGAAGGTTGCTGGGGGAGAAAAAAGTCTTGAAGAATCCCAGTTTCGCACACCTAACAATTCCCTTCCACGCAGGACAATGCTGTCTCTTGTGGTCCCAAAGGCTATCATATTCTCAGTAGAACCAGACTCAACTGCAGATATTTGCTGCACCCCACCATGAATTCAAGTTCCAGGCAGTGTGTGATCAAGGGTCCCTAAGAGAAACCAGGGGCCAGCTGTCCTCACTCTCCAGGCCTGTCTGTCCTTGGAGTTCTTCCTATGTCATTCCAGCCTCTTTATGGATCTTCCCACAGACAGTGCCCCATCCCAAGTCTGTCTCCAACATTCTCTAAGGGAAAAAGAATGCTCTTCACAATCCTAGTCATTGAGCTTTTGATTAGTTATCTAAAGCTCACTAAATAGCAGGGATGCAGAGGAGCCTGGCAGGTTGATGCCCCTCCCTTCCACCGAGGTCTTCATCTGTATCTCTAAAACAAAACCATGAAGACACATAGACACAAAAGAAACTTAGGAGTTGCTTTATAAATCTTGTGACTGCTGTTGAATAGCTTTTTTTTTTTTTTCTTCAACACAAGGAAGCCAGGAGTTTCTGGGGCATTTTGTATTATTTTTTTTTTAATCAATGGAGAATTGAACTTAGGGCCTTGAGGCTGGTTAAACACTGAACCATACCCCCAATCCCTCACTGGAAGATTTTCAACTATTAGCTATATACCCTCAGCTCTCTTTTTGCTTTTACTAAATTGCTCAGAGCAGCCTTAAACTCAACCTATAGCTTAGGCAGACTCTGAACTTTGGATTCTCTGACCTTGGCCTCCAAAGTAGCTGGATTTGCAGCTTACACCAGGCTAGGACATGGTTCTAGGATTTTGAACACACTTGGCTTTTAGGTTATAGAACAAATTTCTTTATGTTTGTTCATTCCCTGTCAAGAAAAAGCATTTGCCTCCCCTGCCTTGTAATGTAAGGTAGTCCTGTCAAAAGCCTGTTTCCTCCCCTTTCTTTTCCAGGAGATCCATAATGAATGGATGAGGTTGACATGGGAAGAATGGTGTGTAAGCACACAACTTGCAAGGATGCGTCTTGTCTGGAGTCTTAATGGATCAGTAGCAATTACTAAATGACTTACTGTGTATGATCCTTTGATCAGGAGTTGGCTGTCTGACAGGTGTCGCCCAGAGGCGACACATCAGTCTTTGAAAAGACAGATCCTATCACAAGATGATACAGGAGAAATTTTCAAAGAATCCTGATCTGGCCCAGACCAAGAGCAATAAAAAAAATCCAATGTAGTTACTGCGGGAGGAAAAGTTTAGCTGTGGCATAGTTGGGCAGTGTCATTATCTTTGTTTAAGAGATTCGGCTGCTTGCCCCACCCTGGCTTCATAAGGAGAGTAACAATTACAGCCAGTCCCAACAGTATGTAGAAGGCAATTAAGGGGGGAAGGGGAAGAAAGCAAAGCCAGGCAGGATTTGCCACTGACCTTGATGTTTCACTTCGGCAAACTCCTTGTTGTATTCTTCTAGTGTTTCTCTAAGTTTCTGGTTCTCCGTTTCAATGTCGTGTAGACGCTGCACTTTTATTTCCAGCTGTTGCCCGAGGTCCAGGGCTGGTACAGGATCTACACAATGGGAGAACACAGATCAGCATACTGCACCCAGACCCTCATCCAGGAAACACTACCACCCAGCCATGTTCTCAGGCCCTCACTGGTGGATTCTAGACAAGTCCTCTTATGCTGACATACCCTTAGTTCTTTACTGGGGGGCAGCTAAGTAGGTGTTGTGCTTCTGAGCCAAACCAGTCCCTTACTGGCAATTCTAGGCCAGTATCCAAAAGTCACCTCCTGGAGATTCTCTTGGGGCCTCAATTCTCCTTTCTTCTAGGTAGTTTGATAAAGAAGGAACTCAATACAAGATCCTTAATATGCAAAAATGTGGTGACGACAGTACTCATTGGTATTTGCCAACTCTTGTGCGGTTCTCTAAAAATTTTCATCCATTGGTCAGTGAAAAGAGAGCCGTGGGTGTACTGAGTAGGAGGAAGGGGCTCCAGGGAAGTCTATCTTACTGCAGAGCCTTCTCTGGATGATACGACTCCATGTAACGGTGTCTCTGTTTAAATGTGTCTAGGAAGTTCATGGACTTGGAACTAAAGGCCATATAACACTTGTACAGACAGGACATTCTCTTGCAAGAGTTTCACAATGACATAGTATAGAAGTAGCACTAAAATTCAGTACAGAGGAAAGGCTGGCCCAAGTTCACCTGATTGGCTGGTAGGCCCAGAGAAAGCTGACCTAAGCTGGTTGACTCCAGGTGATCACTATTCTGTACATGGAAACTCTTGGGTCTCTGTAAGGACATGACCCTTTATTTTCTTCTACTTTTTGAGACAGAGGTTTATATATACCATGCTGGCCTTGAACTTCAGATCCCCGATTTCATTTCTCAAATTCTAGCATTAGAGGCATGTAAAAACATGGTTATATCATGTGCTGCTGGATATCTAATCCAGTGCTTTGTATATGTTGCAATTCGTGTGTGCCCTATCCCCTGAAGTACATCTACAGCATGGCATGGTCGTCATTATTATTATTATTATTGTTATTATTATTATTATTATTTTAAATTGTCATCCTCCTTTACTGATGATGGGTGTTAAGAACAGTCAGAGGTGTGCAGCTGATGGTTCTAAGACTGGAGACCCCTATAAAAGCACAACTGGAGGTGACCCAGCATTACCCCTGTGACAGGCACGCAGCCAGTCAGCTAGGAAGCCACCAATTCCCATTAGAATACAGAGAGCAGAAGAGCATCTGGGCCTGTCCTGTAATACCTTGTGAACAAAAGAACACACTGGGGCTGGGGAGGGGGCTCAGTCTGTAAAGAGCTTGGTGTACAAGCATAAGGACCTGAGTCTGAGTCCCCAGCACCCACATAAAAAGTCAAGTGTGGCATTAGTGATCCTAATAGTGGGGTGGAGACAGATGGACCTCTCTAGCTCACTGCCAGTGAGGCTTGCAGAATTTCTGAACACCAGGTCAGCGGGAGACACCGGCTCCTGAGGAACAATACCTGAAGTTGACCTCTGGCTTCCACATGGATGTTCATTCACTCACACTTACACAAACTGGCCCCCCTCCCCCCAAAAGAATGATATCTGCCATGAGATTTACTCAGTATTAGATTATAGTCTACAGTTGGAAAAATCAGACATGCAATTTATAGGACTGGGTTTTGGCCTCTGGCTTTCTCACGAATTCTCAGCAGAAGACAGACAGACATTAAATGCTTTGGGTCAATTTGATCTTCATTTTCCTTCTGTCTAGGAGGCAATTACAACCCACCAGGGGAACACACCCTTTGGAATTCTGAGAGTAGAAGAATACCCAAGTCACAAGGCTTAGAAAGATTACTGAATCTATTTCTGGCAGGGGCGCCAGCCTCGCCTGGGGATGGTTATGGAGATTTAGTCTCCTCTCAAGGAATGCTAAACACCACACATGGCAGATCAGTGAGGGTATATATTCAAGAGCTCACTTAATTTTCCAATGCCAGAGTCATTAATTTTTCAGACCACCCTTGGTTCCTGGAAGCAGGGCTGGCCCACCATGGCTCTGTGGATGCTGTTTCACCAGAGCCTGGCATTCTCTGAGATGTCTTTGTGTTCACAGAGTTTATCCACGTGTCATTAGGATGTGTGGAGCTGGAGTCTGCAGCCCCAAGGGAGCCCTGTACTGGGGCTTAATACCACCACTGTACATCATCTGAATCTGAGGCCTACTGGGCACTTATGTGGCCTATATACACAGTCCCTGCCTGTCTCCCTTTCTCATTCATGATTTTTCATTATTATTTCAATCAGTATTAAAATATTTATGTTATGTTAGATTGCCAGAGCTATTTTGGGAACATAGTTCTTCTAAGCAGGAGTGGCAATAACAAGAAAAATGGAATTCCCAGGGCATCCCAGGTGTTTTTTTTTTTTTTTTTTTTGATTGCAGTATCTTCCCAGGAAACCTGCATTCCTCTTTGGCCTCTATGTCTTCAGGCTGGGAAAATGCCTTGAGAGAAATGAGTGATATGCCCACAGCCTCCTTTATATAGAAGGACAATTTGAACTTGATCCATGTCAGGGATGGAGAGGGGAAGGTGTTGTACTTGGAGAAAACTCTATGGATGTTCACTGATGTTGCCTTTTCTAGCACAACTGATAGTACCAATTTGACTTTTCAAGAACTAAGGTCGCATTTTAGACATGTGTGTATGTGGACATGTGGACAAGGTGTTAATGATGGGTATCTTTCTTAGTCTTTCTCTTTTGTTGAGACAGTGTCTTTCATTTGACCTGGGTCAATTTCTTTCTTTCTTTCCTTTCTTTCTTTCTTTCTTTCTTTCTTTCTTTCTTTCTTTCTTTCTTTCTTTCTTTCTTTCTTCCCTCCCTCCCTCCCTCCCTCCCTCCCTCCCTCCCTCCCTTTCTCTGTAGGCTAGGTTGGCTGGCCAGCAAGTTCCAGAAACCCACCAGTTTCCACCTCCCCAGTCTGGGGAGTACAAACTCACAGGAGCTTTTTCATGGGTACTGGGGATGGAACTTGGATTCTCATGTTTGTCAAGCACTTTACTGTACTGACTGAGCTATCTCCTTGGGCTCCTCTGGGCCATTCCTATTTAAAGGCCAGGATCCAGTGTGTCTGTCTCTGATGAAAAAATAGCTTTCATCTTGCCATTCAGCAGGAATCCAGTAACATATGTAGAGAACACACATGTTATGAAGCAAATCGTAACCAACAAAGACTTTAGACAAATTCTCAACATGCCCCGCTGTAAATGGAAGTTCTGACACTCTTGTAATTATTCATCATGGCATCTATATTTAATTTAACAATATTAAAGTTAATGTAAAAGTAGCAAAACTGGCTACAGAATGGAAAAGGAACTCAATGTTCAAATAGTGTGATGCATTAGACTCCCAACTTTACGATGGTACACAGAATGACTAAAGGCCCACAGTACTGAAATATTGTTTTGGGATATGTAAAAGCCTCTTAGGTTTAATTTTTATTATGTGTATTAAAGGAATGGCTAATTACCACATGATGGTATAATAGCCCTAGCATGTTTGAGCTGGAGACTGAAACAATGAACTTCAGCAAGCCAAACCCCAACCTGCATGTTAAGCTGGGGAAATCATAGCTTTCTGTCTCGTTAAAGATTTCCAATGCCATTTAAACTCCATACAAGCATTGTTAGGTCTCAGGCTGTACGTCAGAAGCCTCTGATTTCAGCAGTTCAATTACAGAATTGTCTGAGGGAGGAGAAAGAACACACCCATAGACAGAAGAATAACATGCAAAGTTCTGTAAGCCACCTGCCCAGCCTCCATCCCAACATGCTTTGCCACTATCCCCATCCACCCACCATGACAAACTCAAAAAACATTTTATGATTATCTGATAAGTTAATTCCTGAAGCATGCTCAGATGTAGTGTGCAGTTCGTTATGCAACGCAGGACTTAAACAGCATAATTATATAACAAACAACCCTATCACCTGGATTTATTCAGCACATTTTGCTAAGCGCGGTAACATTATCTCATTAATTCTAGTCATCCCTGCAGAAGCTGGGGGAGGGCAAGCTGTGATGTGTCAGGCGCTGGCATCTCCCCCAGGGACAGGGATGGGAAGGGAAGCTGGCTAGGCCAACAGGTATGCAAAATGCTAATTAAGAATGCTATTTCCTGAGCCAGCAGCCACCTCAATTATACTGTCTCTTCATGTACTAATTTAACAAGGGTTTCCTAAGTGGCTACATGATCTGGGAAAGGCCAGGGATGGGCACTGCAAGGGACACTGAGCCAAGTCAGCAAGAACCAGCCTCTCTGGAGAGGTAGCCCAGGTACATCAAATATCAAGAAAACAAAACAAAAAACCCAGTCAAGCTCACAGATGAGTGGAAGATGGGCTCCATATAAATGGAAAAGAGGAGCTTTGTTTAGTAAGAGGAGACAGAGATACTTGAGTAGTTGCCTTAATAAAGACACAAGAGGAGTGAGGAGATCAGTGCTAGGCATGACTAGAACCATCTACCACCATCAAAGTAACCGATAATGTTAATGATAAAGATACCAGGGTGGTTCTGGGTGCTGAAGGGACACATGATAAACAAGATTAACATCTAGCTCTCAAAGGCTTGCCAAAAGGATTAGAGGTATACATCCCAAAATACAGGAACCAAAAACTGACAGGACAAGAGAAAAAGAAAAAAAAATCCACAATCATGGGCACAAATTTCAAATCTCCATTCACATTTATTAATAACAGGTATAATTTCTTCCCATGGTGCTGGGGAAGGAATGCAGAGCCTTGAGAATGCAAGGCTAGGGCTCTACAGCTGAGACATGCCCACAGCTCTTTATGGCTGGGACTCTATGCAGACGCTCTTCCACTGAGAAACCCAGCAAACAGTCAGTATGGATGCAAAAGCCTGAAGAACACAGACTACCAAGCACTCTGGTAGCCCCACACAGCTGCACAACAAGTGTTCCTTTCATATGTACGAGGAACATCCATCAATAACAAGCAGAGCTGCAAACAAGCCTTGATAAATTCAAAAGAACAA